CTTCTCTTACTTCCTTTCCTCTAATGCAACAACCTTGGAATTCACTTGTTGAGATGAGAGAGCCAGAAAATGGTGACAAACTGAATCACGGAGTCATCCCAAGGAAGAGAACTTCTCTGAGACCTGACTCTCCTTAACTTTATTAAAGCCAGAAACAAACGTTTGTTTGTTTGTTTTTTTATGAAGTTACTGATATTTAAGTTTGCAACTCCATCAGAGCCTAGCTCATCCCCAAACATTCCCCAAAACAGCTCTTCCCCAAAACTCTCTCGTTGCATGAAAAAATGCCATGGTCCACCCACTCCCTCAGGTAAAGTTGAAGGGTTATGTTTCAGTATCCCCTTCCCATCGCTCGCTACATTTAAGCCATCAACAAGTCCCTCCCACTTTCACGTATTCCTCCCATCTTAATCCAAGCTGCCATTACCATTTACCTCAACCAATTCAATAACCTCCTGACTAGTCTCCCTGCCTCCATTTCTACTCCATACAGACCATTCTCCTTATGTTAGATAAAAACCTTTAAAATAAGACAGTACATCACTTTATTCATCTACGTAATACCATTTGACAATAAAGTCCAGTTTAGTTGTTCCAGTGCACAAAGAACTTTATACAACAGGGCCCCCGCCCTGTCCTCTGATTTCATGTCATACAACTCCTGCCCTTCCCCACTGTACTTACTTCTCTAGAGAACACACTAGCCTTGTTTGAGATCTGGGTTCATCATGCCCATCCTGAAAAGGGTGCCTTTGCATTATCTCTTTCCTTCTTTCTGATCTGCGCACAGCTTGCTCCTTCCTGACGGTCACAGATCAGCTTCTCAGAGAAGCTTTCTATGACCACCCAGTCTAAGTAGCCTCCAGACATTCTCCATAATAACCCCTAGCTTTAATTATCTGCATATCCTTTATAACTATTAGAATAGTTTTTTTCTCGTTTGCCATCTATCTGTCTGCCACAAGAATGCACGTTTCTTGAGAGCAGAGAACTCAATTGTGTTATTGATGAATACCCAAGATATATAGTAGACACTCACTAAATGCTTTCTGGATTGAATGAACAAGCACTAGGCATGGAGCACAAATGAGGATAATGTCATAATAGAACCATCTCCTTGAAGGGATGTCAGAGGACTGTGTACCCTTAATGGAACCAGGTCACTATGTTTTGAATTCCATATAAAAATTCTAGCTTTTTAAAAAAACAAATTATCCATCTGTAAAGTCTTTCCATTTGCTACAGATATCTGCAATTCCTTTAATTATCTTTATCTCATCTGCCAAAGCTAGAAAACCATCCTCATCAACTGGTGTATTTTAGTTTACTAAGCAAAGTTTACATTTTTTTTTTTGTGAACACTCAAAGATTGTGGAATCTATGAATTATGAGACTTAGCACATAATTGACACATAAATTCATAAGACTTAGCACATAATTTCAGATGGTAATTGGTCATTTTTTTTCTTCCTTTTGAACCAAGTTCTTTTGCATTAAAACTTCTAACATGAATAAAGTTTTCATACCTGAAATCTTACCATATTTATTTTCTCAAGAGAAATATATTTAACTATATAACACAGGCATGAATAAATTAAAATTTAAATATCTTTAAATAAATAAAATTTCATACCTTCTTATAGTATTCCATAAAAGTGATTTTAGTGCCATCTGATTTTTTAAATATAGTTTTGGGAGTTTCCTTCCAATTAATAGCATCCACCCTATAGGTTTTGTTGTTGAACCTATGGAATAATTGCAATATATGGTATTATTCCTGACATATTCCTTGCATGGAACAAGGTAAGAAATAAGGGGTCTTAAATTCTACAAGTAATTGCAGGATATGTCAACTTTATTAAGATTAATAACTCATTTAAGTGGACAACTCAGTGGTTTTTAGTGTACTCACAGAGTTGTTTAACTATCAACACAATCAATTTTAGAATATTTTCATCATCCAAAGAAGAAATGACCATACCCATAAACATAAGCAGTCACTCCCTATTTTCACCCAACTCCCCAAGGCCTTAGGCAACCACTGGTTTCCTTTCTGTCCTTAGACGTTTGCCTGTTCATCACATTCACATAAATTGAATCACAATATGTGATCTTCCCCGATTGGCTTCTTTTGCTTAACATAATGTTTTCAAGGTTCATCCACGCTGTAGCGTATATTGGTACTTAATCCCTTTGTATTGCCAAATCATATTCCATTGTATATATATACTATATTTTTGTTTATCCATTTATCAACTAGTAAACATTTGAGTTGGTTACATTTTGAGCTATTATAAATAATGATGTTATGGACATTTATGTAACAAGTTTGGTGAAAATGTTTTTATTTCTCTCGGGTATATAACTAGGAGTGAAATTACTGGGTCATATGATAACATTATATTTAGCATATTTAAGAAATGCAAGACTGTTTTCAAAGAAGCTATATCAATTTATATTCACTCTAGGACTGTACGAAGGTTGGTTTCAATTTTTCCACATCCTTACAAATTCTCGTTAATATCTGCCTTCTTTATTTTAGTCATCTTATTAGGTATGAAGTTGTATTTCACTGTGATTTTAATTTGTATTTCCCTGATGGCTAACAATGGTGAGCATCTTTCTGTGTGATTATTGGCCATCCCTGTATTTGCTTTGGAGAAATATCTATTCAGATCCTTTGCCCATTTTTTAGAGTCGGGTTATTGAGTTGTTAGTGTTCTTTATATATCAAGCTACAAATTATTTATGAGATGTGATTTGCAAATATTTTCTATCATCCTTTCAGTTGTCTTTGCACTTTTTTGACAGTGTACCTCAGAGAACAAAGGTTTTTAATTTGATGAAGTCCGATTTATCTGTATTTTTCTTTTGTCATCATTTGGGCTTTGGGTGTCATATCTAATAAGATTTTGCCTAACCCGAAGTCATGAAGATTTCCTCCCACATTTTCTTTAAAAATTTTACATTTTTAGTTCTTATGCTTAGGTCTTTTTTAAGTAACTGAGTTAAATTTGGATTAAAATTTCATGTATTATATGAGGAAGGGGCAGGACAGATGGATATCCAGCTGTCTCAGCAATATTTTTTGAAAAGACTATTCTTTCCCTGATTAAGTTGTCTTGACACACTTATTGAAAAATCAACTGACTGTAAATGGAAGGGTTAACTTCTGGATTCTCAATTTTATTTTAATTATCTAAATGTCTATCCTTACGCCAGGATCACACTGTCTTAATTACTGTGGCTTTGTAGTAAGTTTTGAAATTGGGAAGTGTGAGTCCTCCAACTTTGCTCTTCTTAAGATTATTTTGGTTAGATAACTTTAAATTCATTTTCTTAACAATTTAAAATGTCTTGAGTAGAGGGAGATTAAAAATAAAAACTTCACTCAAATGGAAGTTTGCTAATAAGTTATAACTAAGCATCGATTTTTAAAAAACTAGACACAAAGAGAGAAAAGAAAGAAGAAATTCAGGAGAAGCCATACTCTATTATGTGCAAGTGAGGACTCAGAGAAAACAACTAAATTCTCATTAGAAATGACAAGAACACAACATCTATGATTTACATGCACTCCTCTCCCATGCTGTATAACCAGATAAGTGTCCAATGATTGCCATTTTCTTGCTCTTTCCACTTCTGAACTTTAACATTGAGTGATTCAAAAATAGGAACGTCTCTTATGAAAAATAAGTTATCAAAGTGACGGGACAGGTTTTTTTAACAGCAGACTTACTTTGTAAAAACAATGGATCCAACTAATTCTTTAGAAACTTGCTCTTTGACATCGATGCCTTTTTTTTTGGCATCTTCTCTAATACGCATAATTAAATCATAAGCCGTTTCCATTCGGAGCAGTTTATGGTTCACGTCAGCACAGAGGGTCATACTATTTTCATACTGAAGAATGGAGGTAACATAACCAGGCCAGATTTCCAGTCTGCAAATAGAATAAGTTGAATGCGGTTGTCGAAGACCAAGCTCTGAACACAAGACCAACTGTTACAGGACCTGAACCCAGCATTTAAAATTGGTACTTAGGAGTCAGTGTCAATTTCTTACTTTTAGTGATAACTGGTCTTGAAGGACCTTGAAATAGAGATTTAGCAAATGTGCTTGTTAGAAGTAATATATCATCTGTGTTAAACCCTTTTATTATCACCCACAGGCTTGAAATTATATATATTTATATATGTGAGACTATAACATATGATATATATAAATTATATACACATGTACCAATAAGAAATATATACACATATATACATATAAATATAATTTCTATGATTAAAAATATTTTCAGAGAAAATTACCCAAGTTTTGGATTATTTAGGTTTCCTGTGAGGTTTACACAACTGAGTATCTTATGGGTTATTCTTCTCATGCCAAAATTTTTAGAGTGAATCTTTCAGTTTATTTTAAATTTACATCAAACTACAACTTAATTGCTCATAGCCAGCGGGTACCATTTAAAAGAGCATGACTTGTAAATCATACTGCTTCAAACAAGTGTAACTTGGTCAAAAGCTTCTGTAATTATATCTGCAGAACATGAAACTTTCTACTTTATACAAACTTATGTTGACGGATCTCTTCAGCCTTCTCCTTGTTGTAATAGCTGCGGCCAACTTGTCTCAACTTCATGATCTTCAAAATTCTAGAAATTGAAAGAACAGGTTTTGTTGAAACTGCAGTGAATGTTAGTAAGCACTTGGTAACACACATTAAAGAAAAAAATCTGTCAGTGACTTCGTTAATACTAACAATCAACATGAAGTTCCTGATATGACAAGGAAATTACATAATGAGGTGGATACTAAATGTTTGTTTAACCTTAGTTTTTTTTTAATATAAAACACAATATCAAGAGAAGGCCATCAGAAATGTCTTTCATTCCCAGCAATGAACCAAAACATCTTTTGCAGACTAAAATATTAATTTGGATATTTATCATAGTGAATATAGAATAGAAAACAAGTGTATCTGCTCCAGAGAGAAATATGCACAGATGTGCATAGTTGATGTCTGTTACTCTCCCTTGACAGGTACCCGACACAGGAAGTGCAGGTGGGCAGAGAAAACATCGAGGAGAAGCCACTTCACTCAATATGTGGGGATTGTCAAAATTACAACATGCTAGAAGCAAATGGCTATATTCAACACCACTGACACTCACTAAAACACAAGCAGATCTTGAGGATACTGAATCTCGTTAACATACTTTCTAAAGAGGATGTTGTAATAGCGTAGGCGATCTGGTGAGGTGGGCGTGAGTTCGCTGGAGAACTCGATGGTAACTTTCACAAGCTGGTCTTTGAAATGGCTGGCCAATTCTGTTTTCTGAAAAAGAAAAACAAAAAAGATCAGAGGTTCCTCCAAGGACATTAATCTCCACCACATCTCAAGTCAATATGTCACTTGGCTATGCAACACACCACCATGGCAGGAGCAATCTTTCCCCAAGAGACACATGCAGGTTAAAAAAAAAAAAGTGATTTACAAGACAAAAGAGAAGAGTCAGAATTAAATATTTAAATAAAAGCTTTTTTTTTTTTTTTTTTACTTAAATAAGCTCCTGTAAGTGATTTATTTGAGAAATTAACAGAGATTTATCAAAAACCTTCTCCCAAGGTTTT